AAGTTTTCTAGGGAAAACTCACGAAGTCCAAGCCTTGTTGCAAGCCCTCAATAATAATTATTACTGTATGCTGAATGGCCACAAAATAAAATACTATATATAAATCTGTAAACAAATATTTGAAAAGAAAACACAAGACTCTTCTCAATTAATATTTGATCCGCTGCAATAAACATATGACAACTGAAAACATGCTGGGAATAGATGGTTCTAGAGAACTACAGGCAAGGATTAAACAGTATGTAATAAGAATGGAGATTCGCATATGAGATGTTAATATATCTTAAGGCAGAATAATCGTATCCCATATCACTTTAAATATCGGCAAAGATAGACTACACAGTATATTTACTATAATTGTTTAGAGGTAGGCTATATTTAAAATATAATGAACGTGATAATCTAAATTTACGCAGTTAATACGTAAGCTATGTGATATTTCATACCCAAACATAATTGGTAAACATAAATATCTATTATCGAAATAGAAGAATATTCTAAATATCCAAGTTATAAACCGGATGGGTTGAACAGGATATGTTTATCTAAATTACTACTGCTAGAAAATATCTATACATGTTTGCACTTGGCACCCCACCCCCTTTTTTGGCAAAAGTTCTAGGGGAAGGGTAAAAAAGGTTAAGTTCGACGTGGATAAAAGGGTGCAGGTGTTGCTGACACCTTCCAGCACCCCCTATGAAGACGATCCTTTCGATTTCTAGATGTAATCGCTGTGATGAGAAGAATAAGATACAACATAAAACCAGAATTATAGAAGAAACAGATCCAAACAATGTCATATACATCCTCATGACTCTTTCGCAAAGAGCTATAAAAAAAAAACGATTTTACCTCTGCTTCATTGACTAGACGAAAGCATTTGATTGTTTGAAACGTGAAGAAAATAATCAAACTACTGGAAAATATCGTTGAAAAATATTTACGAATTAAACAGAACACGTATCGGCATCAAACAGCTGCTATAAGAATTAATAATCACTTGGGAACATGTCAGAGCATAAAAAGGTGCGCACGATAAGGATGTGTACTATCCCTTGATTTGTTTCCATTATACAGTGAATATATATATATATATATATATATATATATATATATATATATATATATATATATATATATATATATATATATATATATATATAATGAGATCTAACATGGATATACCAGGAATTGTTGGTGTTGGTCATGACATAAATAACCTGTGTTATGCTAATGCTAGTCGGCTCTGTGGCTAAGTCGATGCGAACGCTTCGTAATGCCGGGGTGCCGGGTTTGATCCCAGCTGCGGGCCATGCGCCATGCGTTGGTTTCGACAGTGGTATAAGTGGGCCGACCGTCCAGAAGAAATGGCAAACTACTGGACGTAAAATTTGCCTAGAGAAACCACACAACAGCCAGGAGCTGCTGGGGTTGGTTCTGCAACGTCCTGTAAAGGATATGCAACTAACCTTTATGCTAATGCTACTGTCTTGATAGCGACAAGTCAAAAAGAACTATAGGTATTGATAGACATGGTGGTGGTAGAAACTGATAAAATAGGTCTCACTTTGAATAAATGGAAAGACAAAAGTAATGCCTTTTCCAAGAAAAGAAAAGTGCTTAAATGTATAATAAAATCCAAAGGCGTTATTTTTGGACAATTACATAAATTTAACTATCTAGGCATGTGGATAACATCCGACTGAAGATGTACCACAGAGGTAAAGAACAGAATAGGACAGGCCAAAAATCTTTTATAAAATGGAGAACATTTGGTGCAATAAATCCATGTCAGTGAAGGTTAGGAACAGAATTACTGCATGCTATATGGAGCCAGTTTTAACATACGACTGTGAATCCTGGACATTTAATAAACAGGCCAAAAATATTTTTAGGCCTCGGAGATGTGGTTTTACAGAAAAATTCTTAGAATTCCTTGGACAGCTAAGAAGAGCAATCCAGGTATTTTGAAAGAGGCGAACGCTCGAAGACAACTTATCACAAACATCAGAAAGAGACAGTCATAATTTTTTGATCATGTTATAAGAAGAGGGAAACTTGAAAATATTGTGATCACTGGAAAGATTTGTGGAAGGAGAGACAGAGGAAGACAGCGCGAGAAGATTCTTGACAGCCTTTTGTCATGGCATGGAGGTGTCAGCACACGAACTGATACATGCAGTAGAGGATCGCAGATTGTGGAGAGGCTTGATCGCCATCATCAGTAGGCAAGGCACTTGATGATGATTATGATGATGACGACGATGATGAGAACAAGGAGGAGGAATTGATGTAAGGGCTATATAGTATCTATCCTGATTTATTGATACAAATTAGTGCGAAATTGTGTGGCAGCTGTCGAGATGTAGCATAGTAAAAGAATGGTGGTTACCACCAACATCAGTTTTCACTTCTGTCGTTAGGCTACGTGGGGAGAAACACTTTGTGATCCATTGCTTGATCTGCAGCAATGGTTGTGTTATTCCACGTTCTCCTAGGGTGACTTCTTGCTTTTGCATTGGATCTTTTCATATATAACACCTACATTGGTAGTTGTTCTGGCTGCATTCATATTAGGTGACGAAACCATTTGATATTCTGTTTCCAATGAATTTGCTGCATAGTGTTGTTCCCACAGTCTGACTGAAAATATCATCTCTAACTTTGTATCGGATGGTTAGTTTGGCGACTTTTGTTGGGCATCTGATTTCACAGATGTTAATTGAATGGTGGTAATGTGGGAAAATAAAACCGCAATCAAAATGTCTGTTAATGATAAATCAAAAGTTCTTTGAGCAAATCACGAGAAGAAGAAAACGAGTACATTGAGTCAAAGGAAAGATGGGAGAGAGATGAAACGGTGAGGCAAGATTTTAAAGTTCGGCTTGGAGCATCGTTTGTTTATAAACATGGTTACGACTACGCGTGACAGAAGGGTGTGGACACAAATGATGACCAACGCCACACAGCGTGGCGGGCCTTAACCATTTGGGCATATAACGAAATGCGCGCCTTGAAAGGCAACGTGCAGAAGGTTGGCACGACATTGACTACCTCATCCCATGGAACAGTTTAGCCGTTTCCTTTTCCCGTTGTGGGGAAAACAGAATAGACCCTTTACCTCCCCAATAAGCATGTTGCAAGGTTGACTAATTGGGGGTTTCATTCGAAGTCAGAGTGCATATTCCTGAGAGGCAAGGAACCAATAGTCTGCGTACAAATAAGTCAGATCTGTAAAATAGATGTGCACGCAACACTCAGGTTCTGGAACAAACCTAAAGCCCAGAAGTGGTTGAATAACCAGAACTTTGTCACTGTGTCAGTACTTCAGAATGTTGGAGACAGTAGTGTCAATCTTTAGAATGTTGAAGATACTGTGTCAGTTCTTCAGAATGTAGGAAATACTTCTGTCAGTGCTTTAACATTTTGGAGAAGATACTGAAGTCAGAGTTTTGTTTTTTCTTCTTAAGTTTTTGAGGTATAATTTCAGTACATTAAAAAGTTGTAAGTACTGTAGTCAACGTTTTCCAAGATACAACACAGAAGTTTTGCTGCCTTGATATAAGCTGAATACTTGTTTGTAAAAATTATATTTTCAGCTTTGCGGGCAAAATAGTTTAATGTTTCATGCATCATTGTAAAACGAGTAGATTATCACAGATGAGCTTCTTTTTCTTTCATTTATTGCAGGCAGTTAATAATTTCACTTTTAGTTGCTCTTACACTGACAGTGTTGTGAAAAATAACCAACAAACTGTTTGATTTATCTATATTTTAATTAAAATTCTTGACACACTGGCCTTATTATAAATTTAGTTTTCAATACACTGGAATCATGTAATTATTATGTCATAATATATAACAGTAAAAATGATTATGATTAAACACATTTCAGTATTGCATTTTCATATAAGTATAAATAAAAACAATTACTATAGGCATGTGTCTGCTTAACAGTATTTACAACACACACACAAAATAACCTTTCACTTGAGTGCATTGGTTTCTCATAGATGTCCCATTTTCTTTAATCCATTTGTTTCTCATTTCAGTGCTGTTTTATTATCAGTGCTTGTTTCTTCTCAGGATGTACTCAGTATAGTGCCATTTCTTTGTCTTATAACTGTTGAAAATAGTGGTTGTCTAGACATTTCTCTTATTTCTTCATCTCCTTTAATATTCATTGTTCGTAATTCCAAACTACCTGGTTTAATTCTAGCTGCAGGCAATTTGGCAGCAGACTATTTTGCATTGATTTTGGCAGTGATATACAGCACAAACCATTCAGTAAACAACTGCAGACTGGTGAATGCCTAGTAAAAACAAACAGCCAAAATAATGGCCAAGTTGGTTTTGCAATGACCTGTAAGGGATATGCAACTGCTTAATGTTCATCAGTTTCCTCAGGCATTTATCACAGTTACAACTATTTTCTTTCATGAGTGAAAACAGAAGTAGGATTCTCTTTTGACCAGAGAAGCTGATGATTGTTTCAAACTGATGGTCGGATCAAGGTTACATAGGCAACAAAAGCCAGTTCCTGAGTACATGAGAAAGATTTTAACTGTAGCTTGATATGACAATCTTAAATCAAACAGTAGGTACATAAATTTGTGCTTGTTATTTTGATGAAGGATTATAACATACTGTAGTTTTTTTTTGGGTTTAATTTGTTCTGAATTCAGAGCCAGGGTTGCAGCAGAAAGCAGAAATAACTTCACAAACATACAAAAACATTTACAAACTCAATGACCACACTGTTGAGTTATAATTGTATACAATTCACTTTAAAATCTTTTTGAGAATGAATTAAAATAAAAGTTACTGATTAATGTCGGCATTTTTGTCCCATACAACTTCAGCTGACTTCCAGGTTAGATGTTTTTTTTCAAGTCATATCTTTGAACTTGGTTACTTAAACTTGAGGTGCTCATTGCCAAAACATTTTTTTGGTCCCAGTATGAGGTAAAATGTTGTACCCTTCTTTGAAGTTATAAGTCTCACAACCGTTCAAGAGGTTCTACTCCATATTTCTGAGCCATTTCATCCTGAAAACACAGTACATGATATGTGATAGGAACAGTTACATGAGCATGATATATTATATTCAGTGTATTGATATAAATAACAGATCATTAATAAACTTTAGTATCATCTGTTACTCCAACTAAGATAATATTTAAGAAAGAAACAGACAGCTTATTGTTGAAAGAAATTAATACAAATACTGCAACTAATAATGTAATTTATCTTGAAAGACAGAAATAAAAACAAATTCACAAGTTTATTAAATTTTAAAGATAGTGAAAGTTTGATTTTTGAGAAAAATGTTGACAGAAAAAAATAAACTGCTAGGTGCTGACCACCATGAATGTTACAAGATTACTCATCAAAATATAAGGTAAAGACAAAAACATGAAACTGTATATACTGAACTAACCAAACAGGTGAAATAGAAAAAACAGCAATAGCTTAATATAGAAACATGCTGTGCAAGTAAGTAAGAGAAGGATATTCGAGAAATGCTTCAATAACAGCAGTCACAGTGGCAAAGTTCTTACATTCTTGCATGCTGACTTAAAGGTCATGGGTTCAAGTGTGCACTATGTCAGAGTTTTATAACTGACCTTAGTTCCTGAGGTGGACCCATCCTAAAACTCAGTACCAGGAAATGTTATGATAAGTAAAGGTTGGTGTGCTGTTGGCACATTGCCATAAGTGCATATGGTCTATAAAAATATGGATTAAGTAGAGTTGAGCTGAGTCAAGAACTAACATCACAGCATTCAGGGTATATCCATGGATGCTCTATCCTTATCTTCAGCATCCAGCACAAAGTTCCAATACTGATGGTACTGGTCACAATCTGGTTATATGTCCATCTTACCTTTCCTCTGAGTGTAGTCAGCCGGCTAGACCCTCTGGTTACACCCAGGTGCCTCATTCTCTCCAGGCCATAATAATTTTCTTTCTCTACTAATTCTGTTTCTTGTTTCCAAAGGGCCTTGACCACATCTGCCTTGTCATGTATTATTTCACCACCCAGTGGTGCAGATCCAGCCAATCTGTCTGCCTTTTGATTGCCCACCACACCGATATGGCCTGGAAAAAAGATCCAAAGTATGCTCACTACCCGTGACCTTTCAAGTGAAACTTGCCACTCTGCACACCCAGCCCAATGTGATCATAACCCTACAAAGGTCAAACTTTTCCACTGGTACTCTAACCCCTCCTCTCCTTGCCTAATGTTCTCCAGCATGCATATTTGTCTTATTGTGTCTTCTGCTTGAGCCATCCACAGTTTTCTCCCTTCACTTTAGTCTGTTTCCATTAGTCAATCTCCCTCTCAGAACTGAGTTGGAGTCTGTTGATTAAAAAATACCTAAAACTTGTGAAGGTCACATGATCAGTCAAGGTCAGTCTTAGCTGGTCTGTATCTTCTGTGCTGACTCATTATCTAGTTATACTCTTTTTCTTCTTCTGCATTCATCTTTAAAAAGGCAGTTGGCATGTTATGTTGTTTACAGCTATATTTTGATATCTGTGCCTTTTGGCCCAACACACATGATAAAAAAAAAAAAAAATAGTTGCATTTTACAAAATGCTGGTTAAAAGCCAGTGGGTTAGTTCTAAGTCCCCCCAACTGGGGCCCTAAAGCCCCTATAGAGAATGTTTAAAATATTGCCTCTCTGCTGATGTGAAGTTTCAGTATGTCTTCCATACACAGAATCTTTTTTTTTTTTTAAACTTGGAAAGGTGAAGGAGACTATAATACAGAATATTTGGATATAGTACTTTGGTTCTGTTGTGATAGTCTCTAAACCAATTTGAATTAAATGATTATATGTCTGAATGTCAGATTTATTTGTCTTCAGCATTAAAACTCAGTCCTTCAGTGGATTCAACAAACAAACCACTAGTCATCCCATAAATAATCTCTAAAAAATTGTCTGCATGCATATTTTTTTAAACATCTAGAAATGAAACAAAAATGTTCACAATGACCAAAAGGAAAAACAAATAAGGAGAAACTTCCAGAAAAGGTATAAAAAATGCATTACAAAAAGTACCTTAGATAATACTTTAAGTGAAAATTTATTATTAAGGAAGAAGGAAATCCATTATGTTAATTTGATTTAGTTTTGATTAAAAATAATGAATAAGTCATATACGTTAATTTCCTCTATGGTCACTTTTAAAAAGTGGTTGATGCACTGTATTGTGGTTTACAGTTAGGCTGTGATATCAGCAAACAATTAATTCATTGCCTTTTACAAAATACTTATTTAGGAACAGTGGGTCTATTTCTTTTCCTCCTAATTGAGGCTCGGAAACTGTACTGAGAATAACATAAACAACCTTTAAAGATATGTTGAAGTAGATACTCATAATATTAGAAAGTTCCTGAAACCTTTTAAATTAAGACATACTGCTGAAATAATACACTTGCCTAAATTGTTTTTCAAGCATAAAGACAAAACAACATGTAAATATGAGCTATCCTACTACAGTGCATTTTGAATTCTCTAAATCTACATCAAAGGTACAGCAACATCTTATCTTACAGCAAATGCAAGTTGTTTTGAATGGTATGGGATACCACCCAGTTCTGAACACAACTGAATGTGTTTATTCTCTGGATCCCCTGGCACAAGTACTTCCTGTTCTCCTTCTGCCTGCAGATAAAGAAAATTGTACGATGATGTTTAATATTATGTTTAAAAAAACACACACACTAATATGACAGCTGAATAATTGTTGACAATATTTCTTTGACTCTTCCAACAGCTGATATCTATGACATGTCTGATGTGCAGTTCAAAAACAAACTTCTTTTTCTTCTTTTGTTTGCTTTTAAAATGACAGCTGGCACATTGTGTTGCAATTTACACTGGACTGCAAAACATCTGATTTAAACATAACTCTAATTAGTCACCCTTTACTCTTGCTACAAGGCAGTGAGTTTGTTCTGTTCTTCCTCTTGAAAAATTAGGACCGGGAATCCACACGAGGAGCACAAACATCTAAAAATGACTAGAAATATTATAGAACAAGCTGAATATTTAGTTCTGGCTTCAAGAGCAAAGTGTGCAGAGCAGACTATGGGGAACCAGGAAGGACCTGCAACTGACATGCAAGTTCATAGAGGCAGCTGACATGTGACATGAGCATATGAATCCAAATGCAAAACAGAAGAAGAAGAATATATACAGGCAGAACACAAAGTGTGGGATTAGCTTACAGCTGAAGTGTGTAACAGGCCTTCATATTTATGCATGATTTTTCCTTCTTGCTTGCAGTCAGTGTCAGTCCATGGTAGTGAACCTGTGGAGTTAATGACTGACTGGCTGACTTTCTACCCCACTAGGACATCACACAAGTGATAAACACCCGATGACACAAAGTGCCACCATGTGGATGAGGATCACCGTGGAGAGGTCCCAGAAACCGCGTTCAGACAATTGGCCATATTGATAGCCTGCCTATATTGCGGCCCCTGGCAAAAGCCAGAGTGGGGCTTCAAATAACAAAAAATTACGTCCTAAAAAGGACGTAAGGAATAAATACATTTTTTAATGGAGTTAATGTCATAAACATCTGTTAAATTTGTTTGTTGTTACAAAATAATGGAAATTGAGCAGTGGTGTTACATCAAATTAACGGCAATAGCTTGTTAGTATCCAAGGGGAAATCATTCTAAAGTACAATAGACTTTTGGCATTGATGACATTAGCATTATTTTGATCAAAAGAATGGAACAATTAAGTGAAATATGGCTAAAAGCTAGTGGAGGGTGAGCCACGATCTGGTAGAAGTCAACTGAACTGATGATATCACTGACATTTTATTAAAAGTGGCAATTTTATTTTTCAGGCCACAGGTCGGTTAATTTTTGAACAGACCTTGTTTATTACTGCATTACATTTTTAAAATTAAGAAATTACTTACAGGCTCAGAATCCTTACATTGGTGGATTAGCTCAGAAAGTCTGTCCTCAAAACCAGGAGCAAATGCTTTAGGATCAACTGCAACAAAGCACTGACCCTGTAAATGAGTTTAAAAAGTTATGAGAACTGAACGTATAAAAATTGGTCTTCTGGTGAGCATTTCTAAGGTTGTCACAGACTCCAGTTTTAAATTTTAGTAGACAGAGAAATGATAAAGTCTAAATCATAATAATAAATAAGTATTTTATTCATCTACACAAATATGCCAAATAAAAAATTATAAAACCTGTTGAACTACAAATAGTTTAACATAACTTCTTTATGAAATAAGACAAGTGTTTATAATTGTTCCCTGGCTGGATTCCTTTTGTTTTTTCAATTGCAAGCAATCAAAACTGCAGTTTTTACTGAGAAATATTACCTTGCTTTTATCGTAACTTACTAAATTTGCTTGCACGCTGTGGCCTGCCCACATTCTGACATTGGATCCAAATGCTGATCCACTGAGAATACCACAGAAGAGTTCAACCATAAAGCCAAGACCATATCCTTTATAGCCACCTATATCATGAAAATAAGATAACTCTGATGCTACTAATTAATGTTGTTATAAATAAACAAACATGATAATATCAAGGTTAAGTAAGTTCTTTATTTTTTTTCCTTTGCTTCTGTTTAGAAATCACTAGGAAGTTCCACTAACACTAAGAAGTACAAACCTGGCCAGTTCAACAAATGAATAATTATAATAAAACTTCTGTCATATATGATACCGCTTGGCTTAATGAACCACGTTTATCTATTTTATATATATTATATATTTATGTGTGTATGTATGCTTCAATGTCATAGGGATTTTACCAAATGGTATATGTATAACATATCACTGCATCATTTTTTGCTATCAAAGAACCCAGCAGTGCTAAATTACAGAAGCATAGTTTTCACTATAAATTTAATGTAATGCAAGAAACATGAACACCAAAAGACATCATACTTAAAATACAAAAACCATTACAATTGACCCTCCTGAACCTATGACAATAGAAAATATAGTAAAATTAAAAAAAAATAAAGATTTTCTTTTAACTCTGAGTCTCAAGGAACACATCATACATTCATAGGCTCCTACCTAGAAGCCCAAAGAAGCCCAATGAACGCATGATGCGCCGATTTTATGACTCTCTTTACTACCCCATGGGCATGTGATGCTAAACCTCCTGGGACTCAAAGAGTTAAGAAATAACTTGTTAAATAAAACGTTAAGTTCTTGTCTCACCCCTATCCGAATGGCAAACCCCAGATCCATCCAGGCGTACTAGTCACATTTGTGTCCACAAACAACCACTTCTCATTGTCGCGTGAGATTTCATGGCCTTCCATTCATGGACGGTGACCTTTACAAAGAAGTGGCTATTTGTTGACACAAACGTGAGTAGTACCCATTCAGGTATTTATCCCTTTGTCTTTTCTGTGCTCTTTTTCTGTCAGTTGTGCATGTGTTACCAAGTTTTCAAGCCATTCCTCCTTAATACATGTCTGAAGACAACGTACTGTCTACATCTAACGTCTCTAATCAGTTTAAGATGTTCATCATTGCTAGTGTAATTGCAGCAATAATAACATCACTTCATTGGGACAAAATAGGCCAGATTTTCAAATATGGCAGCAATATTTATTTGGAGTCGTATTCATATTATTAATATCCCCGTTCTTGAAATATAGTAGACTGTATTTTCAGATAATGGATATTTATATTTTTCATTAATATACAAATTAATGTGTATGAAACAGTCACAGGATTTCAGTAATTAATTATTTTTTTTTAACTGAACAGTAGCAGTCAATTAAATTTTTTTTTTTAAACTGTTGAATTAAGAGTCAACATAACAGCACTAGGAACATTCACATAAGTGCTCTGTCCCCAACTTCAGCAGCTAATGAGGAGTTTTGATACCTATAGTACCATGAAGAGTCTGAATAAATGTATGTTCTTGCCTTTCATCTATGCGTTGACTGTCAGCCAAATCCCCTAGTTATTCCCTGCTGTCCTATTCTCTCCCTTAAACTGTTCAGACATTGAGATTGAACGTTCAGAAGGGAAATGAGTTTTTATAACTTACTTGTTTCCTCTGTACCACCTAATGGACACAGACCTCCATGGTAAAGAACTTCCTCTGTTTTGGTACAAGGCTGAATGGACAAATAAGTAAAGTAAGTAAGGGCATATAGGTCTAGACCTATATTTTATAGGCCAATCGGCACAAGATGGCTGATGTGGTCAACATCATGCCGGCCGCCTTTACTTCCTGGGACTGCACCCGGTACCCACTCAAGGCTGGGTCGACCTGGGAGCCAAGGTCATTTTTTAAAATAGTACAGTTCCACCAGGGAGTGAACTCATGACCTTCCGATTTGAGGGGAGCGTCTAGGACACATGTTACGTGTAATAATGTACAGTCATACTTTACTGTGTGACCAAGAGGAGACAGCTATTTATGTATAATTTTCAGCAGTTATCTATTTACCCCTATGTTTTTGAGAATCAGTTAATCTAATCCCTACTTTTGTGATAATACCAAACAACAAAAGCTTTTAAGCACTTTTTTAAAATACTTTTTATTTCAAATATTGTAGCTGTTTAGTGCAAGAGGAAAGATATAATCAGTGAAATTTTTTGTTCACAGCTGAACAATGATGTTTTGTGTGTGTGTGTGTGATCTGAAACGCTGTTGAGGCTAATCAAATTCTTTGATTTTATTTAAGATTTGAACATATTTTATCTCAGACTCCCCATCAATGCTTTTGCACCAGCTGACTTTTATTTTCTGCAGGCAAACCTGATACACCCTTACAACCCAGAGAGTTACATCCTGAATGGCTGTACAGCAAGACAAATGCCAAAATACTTGTTCAAACAAGGTAGTACCATATATTTTCTGTGTATAAGCTAAAGAAAAAAAAGAAGGGGGGGGGGGGAACTTGTACATGGAATGTGATTAAAATATTTGTTTCCGAATTTTTGGACTAGAAAAATAGGGGTCGCCTTATACACCGAAAAATACAGTTATTGCCAAACTCCTACAACAGCAGGCTACATCAAGTGCTTTCCTGGTGTACATGGCAGTCCTGGGTTGGTAAGTAAAGATAAACAGCCTATCAGTCGGGGTTCCTACTTCACTGCTAATAAATCACCCCATAAATATTTCATTCCTATGCCAGTGAGACCACAAAAAATGCCAATCGCTGTCCCATGTGAAAAGTCAAACATATAGTAGTCCTGGCAAAACCAACAGAGCATACATGCATCAAATGCATAAGGCAGCTGCCAGAGATGCAAGAATGTATGGTCTATCACTAGAATTGCTATTCATAGTTGATGGAAGCAGCAGTCATGACAAACCAACAGGTGAGTATTCATTAATTACTTTAACTTATTCATTAATTACTGCACAATGCACACTACTAATTCTGTAGCAACCGGCCTCTCGCTATTTTCTTAATAAAAGATACGCAATAATCTATGCTTTGGAAGATTCATAATGCTTCACTTTGATATGCATATGTAAAATTATTTAATTATGAAATAATAATGTAAAACAAGCCTTAAAAAAATAGAATCTGTGTAAAAATTTCTTATGGAAAATTAAACACATTAGTAGAAAAGCTGCACAAATATACCCAACTCTAGTATTATCAATACACTCCACATCTGATAAAAGAAATGAAGAACACATTCTAATGGGTCATGTGTTGAGGTTCACTTCTTCCTCCAGTAAGATGCTATCATCATTTGCAGGTTTAAATACATTATGGCTATTATCATATGGCTCAGAAATGTACAGAAATTGGTATAGTCATCAAACAGAAAACTGATGATAAAGCTTTTATTAGCAACTTGTCTCCCAGCTCAGTTGTCTTTTTTATTTTTTTTTTTTCAATCCCAGATGAGCCAGATTTTAAAATACATTGGACTCCTATATTCACTCTATTATGTGTATCAGGAAATGTCCTGGGAAGTAAAGGCAGCTGTCATGATTCTGATAAAATGACTCACTAAGTGCCACTGGTCTCTAAACAATATGAGGTTAGTACCATAAGCAGGGTGACCATATCGTCTTGTTTTTGCTAGGATAATATTTCAGGTAGGCTCAGACCACCTATCCACCCCCCCCCCCCCCCCCCTTCCCAACAAATTTTTTTTTCAAGTATTAACATGACGGTCTGGGATAATGAAAAAAAAAAAAACATGATGGTCTACCTAAAAAAAAAAAAAAAAATGTCCCAGAAAAAACAGGATGATATGGTCACCATAACCTTAAGTCCACTATGTCTTATGGCACTCCAACTAGAACCTTTCCATACTGATATCTGGTCTTGGATTAAATATCAGTGGATAAATGCACACAGAAGAAAACTATCTTAACTGCAACAAGATTTCCAGCAAATACCAATGTATGAGTGATTCTTAACATAAAATGTTTACAAGTACATTTATCAACTTACCTTTCCGTGTCTGTCCACACCCCAGCCATTTGGTATATCTTTTCCTAAAAGATGTTTTATTTGCACCTGAAATACATTTTCAATTAACATATCCATAATAACTATACAATTAAAAACTAATCTGAACAAAAAAAAATTTCTTATCACTGATGCTTTGTTTACATAAATCATTTTGTTTTATTCACATATATATGAAAGGAAATTGTGCAATATGGGTCAAGAATTAAAGTTAGTTGCAAATCTTCTACAGCATAGTCTTCAACTTTATTTCAGGTGCCCCCCCCCCTCCTCCCCCTTGAGTATATATGGCTGCACCTCTGCACCCCTTGAGTATATGGCAAGATCCTTATCCCCCCCCCCTTCCCCGCTCTCTGAGTATATGGCAAGACAATCACAAACCCCCTTGAGTATATGGCAAGACAATCACAAACCCCCCTTGAGTATATGGCAAGACAATCACAAACCCCCTTGAGTATATGGCAGGACAATCACAAACCCCCTTGAGTATATGGCAGGACAACCACAAACCCCCTTGAGTATATGGCAGGACAACCACAAACGCCCTTGAGTATATGGCAGGACAATCACAAACCCCCTTGAGTATATGGCAGGACAACCACAAACCCCCTTGAGTATATGGCAAGATTCCCCCCCACCCCCCCACCCCCACCCCCGCTCTCTGAGTATATGGCAAGACAATCACAAACCCCCTTGAGTATATGGCAAGACAATCACAAACCCCCTTGAGTATATGGCAGGACAATCACAAACCCCCTTGAGTATATGGCAAGATTCCCCCCCCCCCACCCCCGCTCTCTGAGTATATGGCAAGACAATCTCAAACCCCCTTGAGTATATGGCAGGACAATCACAAACCCCCTTGAGTATATGGCAAGATTCCCCCCCCCCCACCCCCACTCTCTGAGTATATGGCAAGACAATCACAAACCCCCTTGAGTATATGGCTAGACAATCACAAACCCACTTGAGTATATGGCAAGACAATCACAAACCCCCTTGAGTATATGGCAAGACCCCCCCCCCCTTACCCCCCGTTCTTAATTTATAATTAACTGCAGGAGTATTACATTACTTGTTTACCATTAGATTTACAAACTGTTTTTGAAAACGTCCTTGGCTTTTTGTTTTATAAATAGTTTTAAAATATTTCTGTTGATAATTAATTAAAAAAAAAAAAAATTTGTGGATTATTACAGGTACAAATGAAATCTTCAAAATTGCTCGACACCCCCTTGGAACTGCTTCAAGCTCCCCAGAGGTGGGTGGGGGATTTGGGTGAGAACACTGCTTTACAGGACGCCACAAGTCAATCGCAGCTTTTGTTGGCTGTTTTGTGATTTTACTATGCAGTTTACCTTCAGTAAATTGCCATATTACGATTGCTTAGAGCACTAGTCATCAGTATCTTTTCATATGACTGTAAGACATGGACCTTAAAATAATTTCAACAGAAAATTCAATCATTAGAAATGACATTTTTTTAAATTTTAGGTAATTTTGAAAATTGTCCAGTTTGATTTGAAAAATGTCCTAAATGGTTTGGAAAGTGTCCAGTTTAAAGTGAAAATGGTATATATATATACACACACACACACATATGCATATAAATACTTACCTGCATTTCAGTTTGTAAACATGGGTTCTCTCAACTGCCAAGATCACTAGACCAGACAGTATTGGAAATTATCTGGGGTGGTGACCCATCACTGACCATATTCACCAAAAAATGGTGCATGACACACATGATTTGATATATACATATTTAGGCTGTTAAGTCTTTACAGATTTTTTTTTAAACTGACAACCTTATAAAACATTTCTTCTTTTGCATTCACCCTTAAAACAGCAGTTGGCACTTTATGTTAGGGTTTACAGCTAGGCTGTGATATCTGTACCTTTTCGCTTAACACAGCTGACTTCAGCAAACCCTTAATTACAAATGCTTGGAAGATTCAGTCAGTCTTTTCGAAAGGGGGTCCTGGAACCCACAAGGGGGAAATAATCTCTAATCATTTTGACTTACTTTACCCTGGGCAACTGCAGTTGTTGCCATGTCCAGTACAAACTCCTCATTGCTGTTTCCTTTCGCTGCTACAGAAATTGGATTTGTGCCTAACACATTCTGTTGAGAGAGAGAGAAACATATCACAACAGCTGAAAAGAGAAATAGCGGAGGACACAGTGAGAAGATTTTTAACAGCATTTTGTCATAGCATTAAACAGTGTTAACAAAGTGATTCATTCTTCTTATTTTTGTTCGTATGAGTGACATAACTGCACAGCTGTGACATTACAACTTTCAGCTGTCACATCCAGCTTCATCAAGCATTTGTTGATCTCCCCTCCTTTCTCTCTCTCTCTTTCTGTCTCCCTCTCTCTCTCTTCCACATTCTGTACCAAATTATCCTCATACCTTTTCTTTTTCTTTATTCTTTAAGCAACATTTAAAAAAAAATTGAAATCTCCCAAAATAGTTACAATGTCTCTTTTGCCTGCTATTATTCAAATTTCTCCTATAAACTTCTGTAAAACTGTATTGCATCATCCTCTGATGAAATTTTTGCTGAATAAATGTTTTCAGGTGTGAGATTCTGTTTCTTTAACTTAAGTCTAATAGTTTAAAGTTGATCATTGGACTTGACTGTGGCCATGTAATGTTTAAAGTTTCTTTATCAAGAGCAAACCAACAGTGCTTTCGTTTTCAAACTTTTCTTTACCTCAATATTTAAACATATCTCTTGTTTTGATCAATGAATGACCTTATCCTGCCGGTCTGTATTTCTGAAATTTCCAAGATAAATATTTTAGCTCTTTTCTGATCATGATAGGTATTCAATTGTAGAGGTTCTTCATATTCCACACTGGTTAGCCCAAATTAAAACATCTCCACATTAATAATTTAAGACTTATTAAATGTAGCTGAATGACAATTAATTATAAAAGACATACCACTTTGGATCTTGTTGGTATCATATTAGGTGATGTGTTACAAAATGCCATGCCCTGCAATTAAAATGTTGTAAGTTCGTAAATATTATGAAATTAAAAAAAAGCTATGTGAACTTGTCTTTAAATCATATCACCTTTGCATTTTCACTTGTAGCTGTAACAATACATTTAAACAACCCTTCTATTTACCTAATTATGACAAAGTGAAATGCAAATGTATATGACCAAAAAATATTAAGGAAAAAAAAAACAGTGTTACATTTCTTATCTTGGTCATGCTGATGCACTTTCTTAGAGAAAATATGTGATTGCTGCATGTGGTTTTATATAGCTGATTGCAATCAGTATAATTTACGTAACTACTTTGATGCTTGTGTTATAATTGGCATTCCCTTTCTAGTTATTGACTCCAACAGGTTGTTGGTCTGCCTGCATATTATCCCTCCACCATCTTCTTGGTCTGCATCATGGTCTAATCCCATTCAACTCTTTTGAGTATACATTTTTTGTCTCAATGTTACCTGCCTTTCTCTCTACATGCTCCAACCATTGTAATCTGTTAGCCCTCATGACGCCAGTGGAAATTTAAACAGATTTTAATTTTTTTTGTTAGCTTCTAATTCTCCATTGTCCACTGCTTGCATTTCTGATGGGTTCAAAGATTCATCATAAGACAATATTACCAGAAAGAATAAAAATACTACACATTAAACGAGAAATTATAAGGAGAAAATTCTCACAATTAGGCCTTCATTCATTGCTCTTATGCTATACCAGCCTGCAATACCAAAGTGGTTTGAACCTGTTTGAAGAAGACAGCAAGTTTTGTTATTGAAACTATTGCTATAATAATCTAATAATAATAAAAATAAGAAAAAAAGTTTCATTAGAAGATATCTGAAAAAGTACACTGATTGCTTCAAACAAAGAAACTGAGGAGTGGCTGGTAGAGTAGTTACAATGTTGGGCTATCATGCTGGAGACCCGGGTTTGACTCCCACTAAGGTGATGGAGTTTTTCTGATGCAAGCAATATTAAACATCCTAACTTGCATAGTCTGTTGCAACAGCACTATCCAGAGACCCTTAAATCCTCATACTCCATGCCCCCTATCCACACCACCCTAACAAGTGGTAAAACAGACAGTAGTTACAGTTTTCAGATTGCTTCTTTGCTCTGTTTGTGCTAACCGTATAAGTTTAACGTTCTTGTTGCAACTCATGCATTACATATCTAAGAACCCCCGTCACTGTTATCAGTAATTCTGGAACCTATGATCACTTTCCTCTATAGCAGAGTTAGTGGTAGATATCCAGTATAGCAGAGTTAGTGGTAGGTATTTAGTAAAGCAGAGTTAGTGGTAAATATCCAGTATAGCAGAGTTAGTGGTAGATATCCAGTATAGCAGGGTTAGTGATAGATATCCAGTATAGCAGTTAGTTGTAGATATCTGGTATAGCAGAGTTAGTGGTAGATATCCAGTATAGCACTGAGTGGTAGATATCCAGTATAGCACTTAGTGGTAGATATTCAGTATAGCAGTTAGTTGTAGATATCTGGTATAGCAGAGTTAGTGGTAAATATCCACTATAGCACTTAGTGGTAGATATCCAGTATAGCAGTTAGTGGTAGATATCCAGTATAGCAGTTAGTGGTAGATATCTGGTATAGCAGAGTTAGTGGTAGATAGCCAGTATAGCAGAGTTAGTAGTAGATATCCAGTAAAGCAGAGTTAGTGGTAGATATCTGGTATTGCAGAGTTAGTGGTAGATATCCAGTATAGCAGAGTTAGTGGTAGATATCTGGTATAGCAGAGTTAGTGGTATATATCCAGTATAGCAGAGTTAGTGGTAGATATCCAGTACCTGTGAATTACAATGATGTAAATTCATAGTTCATGTGGCAGTTTGTTTCCATGGTTGACTTTACAAAAACCACCAGTTTTAAATAAAAAAATAAAAAATTTGCATCAGAAAAAAAAGACTCAGTATAGACATACCAAAATATTTTGCAAATACCTTTTGCAGATACCCATCCAATACCAGCAGATTTGGCTTTTTGTATGGCCAGGTCAATACAAAATTTGCCAACCACAGGACCTGTTGATGTTTAAAAGCAATGTATTGTTAAATGAGCGAAAACAAATGTACTCTTTGTATCTTATGAAGCCTAGATTTACCAGTAAATGAAATGATAATCACAATTTTAAAATACTGACATCAGAAATTAATCACAAACAAGAAGTTAAATCTGATTAAAAACCTCTGTGTTCTAGATACTGGGCAACAAAGCCTTCCTGTCAGATCAACAAGCACTGTTAATTAATCAAACATAATGCAGAAGATTAACTGCAATGAATATACAAAACTAACTCTCTCTCTCTCTATTGCTAATACTGCTTGTTTATTGTATGAAATAGCCATTCATTGTCTATAAGTTATTGATCAGCACAACATTAACTATCAGGCTAACAAACAATATTCAATTTTATTAGTTTCTGTTGCTGTCTATAATTTAATGATATGGGATTATTCAGACAGTGTAGAAAACATACTCAACCTAAACAGTTATTGCCATTCACAAGAGCAGTTGCTACAGTCTCTTTTAGGATTTCGGGCTCTTTATCCACAGAATTCCATCCATTACTGATTTCAGTCAAGTAGTAATCTGAAACACAATCATGAAAAATATTTATAAATATTTTTAAATGACCATAAGAAAATATAAGTATAATGTGAGAAATGTGTATGTATTTGTAGTTGTAGGTTGGTAGATAAGTATGAATGTGTGCGTTTATGGATTCAAGATTATATACACTTTAATTTTTTTTTTAAATTATGTTAATAATCTTGATCTGTTTTCAATATTAAAAAGTGATTTGGCACATTTTATTGTGGTTTACAACTAGTCCGTGCGTTTTGGCCCACTACATTAGATTTTAGCAAACTATTAATTAGTCGCCTTTACAACACACTTGTTAGGGAGTGGTGGACCTATTCTTTCCCCTTCCTACAAAACGGGGGATATTAATAATTCTGCAGTAAAAAAGACAGCTGTCATGGTGTAGAGGCTCCCTGCGAATCGGAAGGTCACGGGTTTAGGTTCTGATGGTGCCAAATTGTTTTCAAAACACCTTTTTCCCCAGGGTGACAGCCCTAAGTGAACACCAGGTATAGCTCCGGGAAGTCAAGGTGGCCAGCATGATGTTGACCACATCATCTGCTGAGTGCTGATTGGTCTATATAATATATAGTTCTAGCCCTATATGTTCAATATGCTTAAAGGCATGAAAAAGGGTCCTATACTTTACTTTACAGTAAATAAACAGAATGACAAAGTTAGTAGGCATTGCACCTAGAACTATACCTTCTACTTCTATATTTAATTCTCAATGGAGCATAGATTCTTTACTCTCAAATAACTTAATTCAAATGCATTGTCGACTGGTTATGAGTTTAGTTATACAATATAAGCTTTCTACAGCCGTGTTCTTGAAACATTTTGCACCTGTAACCAGGGAAAATAGAAGACATTTTTCATGGACATGCTGAATACAGAAAACAAAATCTAGAAAGCATGTTTAATTAAATCATGAGTGTGCAGAACTTTCTAGATTGCCAGAAAATTTCCACAGACCAGTCCATGGATTACAGACCAGTCCATGGATTACAAGTTCTTCTTCTTAGCATTTTGATTTTGATTGTTCATCCACTTCCAGACTTTGGACTTGTTCCAGAGCTTTTGAGTTGTGTGTGCACATCCATTTTACAGATCTAGCACAGTTGTATGCAGACAGTTGGTTCCTCACCTCTAAGGCAGATGCACTCTGACTTTAAAGAAAACAACCCCTGTTAGTTGCCTTTTACAACATGCTTGTCAGAGAGACACTGGGTCTTTTCTTATTTTCTCCAAAATGAGCTCTTGGAACCCACACAGGGAGAATAAGGTTGAAGAACGGGGTTCTACAGGATGACTTACAGCCAGTTTTATGCTAACCAACAATAATAGTCTCCACAACATACATGGCAGGTAACAATATTGCTCTCCTTATATCTTATAAACCAGAGCTATTCAACTGAGTTTATCCTGTGGCCAAAATATTAAAAAATAGGATCATCACGGGCTAGAGGTCCAAACACAAACATAGAAAGATCACAAATAAAATGCAGTAGGCAATGATTCATGGACCACTTGCTAGGCCTCCGCAGACGTACCTGGCCCGTGGGCTGCCTGCCAGTTGAACAGCCCTGAGTAATAAATGTCCATAAAATATATCTTCAGAAATATATACTTTTGTAAAACTGTTTAAATATATGTTGATTTTAGGGTGGAAGAGTTGACAGGCTTATTAACTGCACAAAAGTAGCTTAACTCTAAGATAAATACTAATTCTCACCAATCCTGTTCAAGCCATGGCTGTAATGTCCTCGATGGTCTGCAGCGACCAAAAGTTCAGCCATAACTTCTGCCTGGTCTGCTTTAGCTCCAGCTTTCTGCATACACCTGAATACAAAATCCCTGAGCTTTTCTACAGGCACAATGACTTGATCCTCTGTGCTCATTACGGCTGGTTGAGTTGACTTACTTGTAATAAAAATGCAGTGCATTATAGTTCACGTTGATAGAATAGTTGTAACCATTTCTTGTTATGTCTACACAGTACCCTAACAGGCACTTGGGCATATACAAATGAATGTACATGCACTGCTTCTATATCCAAAGTATTAAATGACTAGGACAATTCTGTTTAGACATTAAACCAACTAGACTGAGATATTTTATAAGACAACATAATTTGGTGATATTTATTATTTAAAGAAGATTTCCATCGTTATCAAATGCCTTGCAGGCTGTCTTGCTAAAATTGTTATTCTCTACATCTTGTGATCTTAACAGAATTTATCTGGGGAAAAAATATCTTAATAGCTTGGACGAAAAAGAGGAGAAATATTGACATCTTAAAAGATCTGAACATCAAGGAAGATTGGCTAATAAACAGCATCCTTTCTCAGAAGCTGAAATATTTTGGTCATATCAAGCACCACAACGGATTGGAAAAAACTATAGCAGAAGGTATGGTACCAGGAAGGAGGGGCAGGGGCCGACCGACACAAAGATGGGCACAGTGGCTCCTTGAGTGTGAAAGTATATGAGGCAGGAGAACTGGCGAGAGACCGAGTTTCTTTCAGGCAGACTGTGATGAGAGCGACGTTCTGCAAAGGACCTGCTACATGATGATGATGAGGCAGGATGGTCTTTGAGCCTGAAAGTAACAATGTTGTGATAAGATTTTCAGTGGAATGGTAAAAGTTATCAAGAAAGATATCTTGTTATAATCTGTTTCCCTTTCCATAAATCTTTCCAGATATTCATCATCATCATTAGGTGGCTGCTGGGACGGCAAGAGTTCGTACTTGGTTGCAACAATCTAAAGGTGGCACAGACAGGGCCATATGAAAAACAAAACAAAAATAAAAACCAGTGCAATGAAATCAATCCTCTATCGCAGGACTTTTCAGCTAAGTTTACTAAGGGACCACAGTGTTGAAAATGGTCCAGAGGCCAGAGCCCCATTACTGTAATGATTACAGAAAGCTCATTAATACAACACAACAGACAATGATCATCGGGCTTTATGCTAAGCCTCCGCGGGCCACATTTGACCCGCGGACGGTTAGTTGAATAACCCTGCAGTCTAGTCTTTCAACCCCTGTTTTAAAAGAATTTAAATCCGTTATTTACTTCTGTGGTCTAGTTTTATTTCGGCAGACGTTTAAAAGTACAGTTATCCTGCATCACCTGCATCATCATCAAGTGCCTTGCCGATAAGCGTGGTCGACCATGCCTCACCACAACCTGCGATCTCCTACAGCGTTCATCAGCTGATGTACTGGTACCCTTTCATACCATGAAACAATGCTGTCGTACTAACACACCGTCATTATATTCACTCCGAAAGGCAAAACGGGAAAATATTACAAAGTACTAGCTATTGAAATCACATTTGAATGCACACAAACACACACACACACACACAAAGTAATCAGCCACTTGCAGTTAATAAATTTAAAAAAGTCATCGCAGAACTTACAGAAAAAGCGTTACTGAGTTATAGATAAGCTGTATTATATATAAGAAGCATTCAGAGGTGTTTAGTGACCTTTAACCCGCATAGTATTTGACCTGTAAAGTTTAAGCATTATGGGAAGTTTATCTTTTAACCCCATGTGTTGTGAACTCGTGCCCGCATCACTTACTTAACTAAACACGACTTGTACTTATAAAACAACTGTATTCTATACAAATGGCCATGTGTTACCAGGGAGCTGTCGTGGTGTAGTGGTTGGACGCTCACCTGCAGATCCGAAAGTCGTAGGTTCAAACCTGAACAGAACAGTACATTAAAAATGAAATGACACTGAACAAACCTTAAATGGGTACTAGGTAAAGTCCAGGGAAGTGAACGCTGTTTGTTTAACGCTGTTCACAACACCCACCGAGTACCGATTGGTATTTTAAATACAGGTATAGCACTTTATGTCCTACACACCTTAAGGTGAGGAAAAGGGTAATTAACTTTACTGGTTACCAGATAGCTCTGAGTTTAGAGGCAAAAGTTCACGGGGTTAGTTTCGAATGGACGACGCTTAGTGAAACAAAATCTAGCGTGTGATAATATAACTTCTAGTTTTAGAATGGATGTGGTGGCAGTCACAGCAGCTTTACGTCGGCTTGAGAAGCAGCTGCACACGCATGTTGTGACTGTAAACGACTCATAAAGCATGATGAGAAAGGTGGAGACAAGCATGCTCCGTGATGAGTGGGAAATATTTATTCCGAGGACATGTGTAGCTAGCGTTCTTTGGACATTCGCTCCTGAATATGCTAAAGTACTGGGAAATGAACAGTTTGACAGACTGGCTGATTCTGTACAATGGGTGGTGATTTTATTAATGACAAGATGATAGTGGTCAATGCCCTTTGGGGGCAAGCGCATAATGCGGAGATACGAATAGATAGATCATCATTGTGTGGAGAGAATGGTACAGCTAGAAGTGATCAGGGGATCTGGTCGATACGCTTCACTCAAAGGAATGGCAAGACGGACATACAATGAAACTGCTACTGGTATCATCTGAATTTGAACTCTTGATTGGCCGCTGAAGTTGAGGGCAGATCGTGTGAGGGGAATAGGTCTATACTGAGTGTTGTGATGTCAGTTCTCAACTCAACTCAGCTGGTGTTACCAGGGGCGAATAGTGGATGCAGACGGGGTTGTGTTTAGGATGAATGACTACCCGTGTGGGCTCCGGGGCACTATTGTTAGGGAAAACAAGAATCAACACACTGCCTTCGAAACAAGCTTGTCTTAATAGCCGCCTGACTGGGAACTTTCTTCGTAGTCGAATTGCATCGACCTGAAATGCAAAGAACCAATAGTCTGCATACAACTAAGTCAGATTAGTAAATTGTATATGCATGAAACACTCAGGTTCTGGAACAAGACAAAGACCAGAGGTGGACGATTAACCAGAACTTTCTACTGGAGTTTACAACCGGTGTACGTGAAGAAGAAGAATGTAAGAAGAAACTCTTGTGCAGCCATCTCCCCCCCCCCTTCCCGATAAAGGCTGTATTATTTAAAAAAATAAATAAAGGACATTTAAAAGAAAAGATATATGATGCATTACCCATATAGTTTAAATATTAAAATTTTAAATCACGGGAGGGAATTGAACTGTAGAGTGGGTATTGATTGTTAGCCAGAGGGGGCGATAGACAGCATTAATATATGATATGGGATGGGGGAGTGGTGCTACTATAGTCGTATTTAAAGAAATACTTGGGAATTCCCTGAAGGATGCAAAGTCGCTATACTTTACATCATCATCATTATCACTACTGTGCTGTTGTGCAAGCTATTTCTCCATTCCGTTCTAACATATGTAGTCAGATCGATATAATGGTAGGAATCGAGTTTAGTATCTTAACAAGATTTTTTGTTGGAACACAATTCTCGGCTTACGTTCTCTCGCGAAGTAGTAGTTGTAGTAGATTTTTACCCCATTAGGACATCACACAAGCGATAAACACCCGATGTCACAAAGTGCCACCTGTGGTTGAGGATCACCGTGGAGAGGTCCCAGAAACCGCGTTCAGCCATTAGACCATATTTGGTCGGGGTTTATTGCGGCCCCTGGAAAGGGCCAGGTTTGGCTTCAAAATAGAGAAAAATTGCATCTCACAAGGAGATGACAGGATTTATATTCTCTAACGTCGTTCTCCAAAGCAAATATAGTGTAATTTACTAATGATCTAATGATAAACTATTTCCTTCGTAAATATGCTATAGATACTTTATAAATGAAAATATAAAAATATGCAGCTCCTTGACAGGTGAAATAAGCCACATCAAGTTCCAGACTTAGTAATTTTGTTTTAAGGCGAGGGAATTTTAGTTAATTAATTAACTGAAATTTTATAGTTGGAACTTTTAATAATGTGTTTTAACTGTCTCACTTTCAAGAATTTATTTCACATCTCTTATTCTTTTGTTATTCTTACTTTAATTACCGATGTAAAACACGCTTACTTAAAGCTACACGCAGGTGGTTTTTTTCTGGCTGTACGAAAGAGTGCGCAGTGTCAGCTTCCTTTATAAACATCATTTTTTGAAAAAAAAGTTACTAGTAAAGGGTTGATTTATGTGTTTTGAAAGCTCTTTGTAATTTCAGTATATCCTATTCGAATCAAACAGCGGTCGATTTGGCAGCAGACCACTTTGCGTTGATTTCCACATGGATATCGAGAACAATGGCATGTCATTTAAGGTACAATTTGCATAATAACACCAAAACAGACAATGACTGCTGGACTTACTTTTTTTACCCCACTAGGACATCACACAAGCGATAAACACCCGGTGACACAAAGTGTCACATTGCGGATGAGGATCAGCTGTGGAGAGGTCCCCAAAACCCCTTTCAGCCGTTCGGTCAAGTCTATGGCTTGGCCATATTTATGCCCCGGCTATATTCGGGGCAAATAACACAACATTGCATCCCACATGAGGACGTCAACTGTACATTGATTATGACAACTGCTGGGATTGGTTTTGCAGCGTCCTGTTAAGGATAAGCAAATAACTTTTGTTTTCATTTTATTCGAATAGACGCTTTCTGGTAAATACGGGCATCCCCTTTTAAACACGTTGTTGGGAAATGGGCACCTATTTTTCGTTGAAAGGGGAGGGATGGGGGTGCGGGAGAGGCTCATGTATTTTATTTAATTTGTTTTGCCGTTACTTTTTTCTCTGTCTGGTAATTCCCTTCCATATCTAAATTTGCTGGCACCCATGTAATTAATACTGGATATTCTCCTGTTCACGTATTTAGATAAGGTGTGGCCAAGAAGATCTCCGCTAGTATTCTCCAGTATTTAGTTTTAGTGACGCATGCTAGTAGCACTAATACCCCCGTATAATCAAACTTGTCCTGCTTGGCAGCTTCACAGCAAAATTAAATTAATTTAAAAAAAAAGATATATGATGCATTATCTTTAT